TCTTCCTCCGCATCACCCCCACCCCACCCCCAAGAAGCCTTAAGGATACCCCCAAGGATGTCTGTGCAAACGTACAGCCCAATCAGGGAGCTAGGTCTCATTGGGGCACCTGTTCACGAGAGGTAAGCCTGTGTTTGATGGCACCCAGGTCTTTAAAATGTGCAGTCCTGAGCATCATCTGCCACACTGCAGTCTTGGAAATCTTCCTTGGCAGTGCCCAGAGAAGCTCCTGGACAGAGGAGACCAGCAGAGTCTTGAATGGGGAAGGAAGGAAGGGAAGAAGGCCCCTTGATTGAGGTGTGTGTGTGTGTGTGTGTGTGTGTGTGTGTGTGTGTGTGTGTGTATGTGGTCAGTTTTGACTCCTGGTGATTGCCTGGACTGCAGGTAGTCCTCGACTTACAACAGTTCATTTAGTGACCGTTCAAAGTTACAACGGCACTGAAAAAAGTAACTTATGACCGTTTTTCGCTCTCACAACCTTTGCAGCCTCCTCAGGATCATGTGATCCAAATTTAGATGCTTGGCAACTGGTTCGTATTTATAACCGATGCTGTGTCCCAAGGTCACGTGATCCTCTTTTGCGGCCTTCTGACCGACAAAGTTGATTCACTTAACAACGGTGTTAGTAACTTATCAACTGCAGTGATTGACTTAACAACTGTGGCAAGAAAGGTCGTAAAATGGGGCCAAACTCACTTAACAAATGCCTCACTTAACAACAGAAATGTTGGGCTCAATTGTGGTCGTAAGTCGAGGACTACCACTAATGAGTTCCTGCACTTTTCTTGGCAAGTTTTCAGAAGTAATTTTCCATTGCCTGCTTTCTAGGGTTGAGAGACAGTGACCGGCCCAAGGCCCCCCCAACTGACTTCATGCCCAAGGTGGGACTAGAACTCACCACCTCCCAGATTCCAGACTGCTGCCTCAACCACCACACCACACGGGCTCTCTAATGTTATGAGAGTTGTAATGAAAATGCAGACAACCCCACCTGTGTTCTCACGGTGAATTCAACGGACTAAAGGATAGAACCGTAGAACCGCTGGGGTTGAAAGGGCACCTTGGAAGTCTTGCAGTTTCACCCCTGCAGAAAGCCTTGGACTATTCCAGAGAAATGGCTGTCCAGCTTGTATTTGAAAGCCTCCAGTGATGGAGCCTCCATAACACTAGGAGGCCGGTTCTTCCATGGCTCCAGAGCTCTTGCAGTCAGAAAGTTCCTCCTGATTTCAAGTATGGATCTTCCTCTGTAAAGCTTCTGTCCATCGGCTCTTGTCCTATGCCTTCACCCTCCCCAAAATAGATCCACCCTCTCTTCTCTGTGACATCTTTCATGTATTGCAAGATTGCCAGCCTGTCTCCCCTTAGCCTGCTCTTCTTGAGGCTAAACTCAGCCAATTGTGGGTGCTCCAACACTGGAGGTTTTTAAGAAGAGATTGGACAACCATTGGCCTGAAATGGCATTGGGTTTCCTGCCTGAGCAGGGGGTTGGACTAGAAGACCTCCAAAGTCCCTTCTGACTCTGGTATACTGTATTCCTGTACCCACCCTCCATAAAGTTTATATCCCAAGCCTCTCACCATCTCTGCTGCTTTTCTTTGCTCTCTGGCTCCTCAACAACCTTTTGGTACTGCGGCCAACAGAGTTGGTCACTGCATTGGGTTTGGTCTGCAGCATTCAGCCTACAACCAGATGAGTTTTTGGTGATTGGGGGTGTGGAGGCTGAGAAACCAGGAGGGGACCTTCTAAAATGGGTGTGGATGGTGATTTCGGTGCTGTGTCCTGCCGTCCCTGCTCTCCCTTTGGCCGAAGCGAGGATAAGAAGATGCGGCTCTGAGTCCTTAGAAAAAGCATCTCTGGAGTTGAAGGTTCCAGTTTAAAGCAGGAGCCTTCTCCAAACTTGGAAACGTTAGGACTTGTGGAATTCCCCAGCCAGCCATGCCCCTGGCTGCCCCTTCCCATGACCAAGTATTCCATATCTGCTGCAGATCAACCCTTCTGCCTTCAGACTCAAGAAGCCCCTCCTGGGCCAGGCTTTCCTCTTCAAAAGAGTGTTGGGTCCAGCTGGGTGTGGACCTCTGCCCATGCCAGAAATTCACTCCAATTGGTCCGGGGAGGGGGACCTATTATTGGGAAATAGTGCCCACCTTATTTCGTGGGGGCATCTTGGTTGCGGAAGCTGCTCCTGCCCCCACTCCCAGCGCCAGCCACAGCTGACCGGAGCGAGTCCATTCAGGCTGCATTCCAGACAGAAAAAACGGCCATCCCATCAGGCAGGGTGTGTCCCCTGCCATAAACCTTCGTTGTCATTCCACATGGCAGTGCAGGTGCCCCCTGAATCCACATTCTCAGCCCTGTCAGGAAGCATTCTGCCAAGCAGGATGATGGGGTGGCAGCTTCTTAACAGTAGCTCTCAAATGGGGCCAGAGGAACTTTGAGGGGAAAGGGGGAATGCTCTCGGCTTCTCATGAAATCAGCAATAGGATGGCAAATGTTTATTGCACCGAATGCAGAGGTCCTTGTGAGCACCGCTGCTTTTTATAGCTGCATGGGAATGTCGGGAAGGAGCGTTTCTGCCAGAGCTTGGAGTGGGGGGGGGTCATGACTATATAAGGTGTGAGCCACTGACTCTCTGTTGGGCCTGGAAGCACTCAGACAGGATTCCAGCTGGAGCCCCGAAGGCCTGTTGGAGAAGCTGTGCCCCAGATGGGGGGAGGGGGCAAGGGGAATGGGTCTTGCCCCCAGAGAGGGAGTCAGGTAGGGGCTGTGCTGCATCCAGTGGGTTAAAACCCAGCATGCAGTCGGCTCCTGTGGAGCTAAACCAGGTCATAGCTGGCTGCTGCTGCTGAATTTTTGCCTGTTTCTCTCTGTGTCATGCACAAGAGCGAGAGACAACTGCACGTGTGGTCGGCCCTCTACATACAGTAGAATGCAAGTCTCCCCTGTTGCACAGGAAACCTCTGGACTCTCCAGAGGGAGGGGGCTCCCCTTTCGCCTTTGCACAAGGTGTTCGCCTTGAAATAAAACCTCCACAGCAGAAATTTGAGGGATTCTAAATGGCTGGTCAGTCTATGCAAGGTTTTCTGTGCATGCACGGAGTGCAGCCCTAATGAAAGGGCTCAGTAAGTGAGTCGAAGAACAGATTCAGGAAGGAAGCAGGGAGGAAGCAGACCCACAAAAGGTTTGCATCTTCTGGCTTGTCTGAACCCACAGGCTCTTTTGTGCAGTCTGTAAAAACAAGGCAAGGAGTGACCTCCATCGTGACAACAGGCCTTTCCCCACAGCAGGGATGACAGCCTGGGGCCCTGGGAGGCTTTTCTGATGAGAATCAAATGGGCAGACTCCCCCCGTTTGTAGAGAGGGGGCAGGTGAAGACTCTAGAACAGTGTTTCTCAACTGTGACCGCTTTAAGATTTGTGGACTTCAACTCCCAGAATTCCCCAACCAGCCATGCTGCTTGGGGAATTCTGGGAGCTGAAGTCCACACATTTTAAAGCAGCCATGGTTGAAAAAAACTGCTTCTAGACCAGGGTCTCCAACCTTGGCAACTTTAAGACTTCAACTCCCAGAATTCCTCGGCCGGGTGGGGAATTCTGGATGTTGGAGGAGCTGCACTAGAGCAGGGGTCTCCAACCTTGGCAACTTTAAGACTTGTGGAGCTTTGCTGGCTGAGGAATTCTGGGAGTTGAAGTCCACAAGTCTAAAAGTTGCCAAGGTTGGAGACCTCTGCTCTAGAGGAAGCCCTAATGAAGAAACAAGCAACTGTGGCTCCTTCCTTCCTCAAAAACCTCACGGGGTATTTTATCCAATCCTATCTGAGGCAGAGAATGTGGACGGTTACCTGGAACTTCCATCCCTGAACACCGAAAGCAAACCTTGTCCTAAAGGCTGAGGGTCTCTGCTAGAGCTTCACCTTCTCTGAAAGGTCTTTTATTAATATTCTTTTAGATGTTTTTATCCCACCTTTCTTGTTTTTGCTACTGTCTTGGTCTTAAAAATAGCAATGTACACTCTTGGGAAGGGGATCCCCCTCATGTCAGGTGAGCCAGACAGGAAATACAAACAGATGAGATAAATCTACTGTATTGTAAGGTTGCATTAAAAGAATCTTGCAGGTAGAAACTTCCTGCCACCCCTTTTAAATCTTTGATCAATTAAGGCAGCTCCTTCCTAAGTTTCTTCCTCTGACTGTTTAAGCGTCTGGGGCTTCTCAATCTCTTCTCTCTGATTGTTTCCTAGGCAGCATCTCTTCCCCTCCTCCCTGAAGGTCATCCATACGGTCCATTACCCCTCCACATCTGCCATGCTGGGGGCTGCTGGGCCCCAGACATCTGGAGATGTGAATATTCTTATTTATCTCCCACCTCAATAGTTATGGGGGTTGAGAAATGCTGGTTTCTTGGGTCCTGCCCTCGGAGTTAGCAATTTGTTGGGACCAGGCAGTTGCCAGTTGCACTCTTGCTGGATTGTCCTGGCCTCTCCAAGCCTTCTTTGCTTAGGACCAGTGACCGAAGTGAATCCAGCAGCCCTTCTTCCATGCTGGGTCTGCTGTCTGTTGGAAGGACTGTGTGGCTTTTGATGTCATTGCAGAAGTAAAGTCCGGAGAGTGGAGGAGGCTGCTTGACTTGCAAGAGCAAGAGTACTGCCTCATAGTGCTTTACAGCACTCTCTAAGTGGTTTACAAAGACATGTAAACTTGCGTCCTCTCTTTGAAGCGAATGTGAGTTTGCACTGGGGCCAAACTGCAGGGCGATGGGAAAGATTGTGGAAGGGTGTCTGGGAGGTAGAACATTCTGTGCCTGAAAGATGTAGCTTGTCCCCTAGAATCCCACAGCTGGTCCTCTGAAACCATCCTCAGCTGAGAAGGCTGTGCCACTTCAAGGGGTTGCAGGGAGGGGGCGTCCCAGAGGCAGGGGTGATTCTCGGGGTGCCCACCTGAGGCCGGAGGCGCAGAGAGGTAACTTCCTCTGTTGTGTTGTTTGCTTGCTGCTGAACTGACCAAGAAGATCCACCAGGAGGAGAAGGCCTGCTATAAGGCGGTCCAGCTGAGTGAGGAGGGGCCGTCGGCCGTCGAGGGCCAGGGCCAGGGCTCTGGGCTCCTGGTGCTGGCCCAGAACTGCGCGGTGATGCACAACCTGCTGGGCCCAGCCTGCATCTTCCTGAGGAAGGGATTCGCGGAGAACAGGCAGCCGGTATGTAAGTCACAGCAGCACCCTCTTGGGACAGGCTGCCCACGGGGGGCACAGAATCGCCTGCTCCCAGGGCTGGAAGGGGCTGCTCCGAGACCCTCAGAGACCTCTCCTCCTCCCCTGCCTGGCCCTTCCCATACTCGGGGAGATTGCCGTGCCCCGAACACCCCTTAGTTGCAGGAACATGACACGGAGACCTGAACTGCAGCAGGGGGACCATGGAAAGGGATGCTACGCTGAGCTCAGGTGGAGGACACCTTCAAGAGGCGCCATGTGGGGGCTGATGGAGCGGCAGAGGGGAGAAACGGCTGACAGTTGGGCCATCTCCTATGTGTCATTCCCCCCTGCCCCCCACCCCTACCCCCGGAACGTTGCAAGCCCACCGTTACACCAGGATGCCTGTTAAGGGATCATCCTTCTCCAGAGCTCTCCTCAGGGCGCCCTAAAAGTTATTTAACCCTCCCCCTCCCCCGTCTCCTCTCAACTGCTCTGCCAGGGCAGCATCTGGCTGGGTTCAGCTCCAGCTCTCTGGGTGATTATTCCTGTTGTTGCCTTACTGCTCTCCGCACCCTTGAGGGATCCTTGCCCCAAACCAGCCAATGGCTGCAACTGATCTCCCGCAGAGATTGCCCATAAGCAAGGAAGCTGCTTTTTCTCCTTCGCAGCCCCTCCTGCTCACTCCCCCCTCCCAGCCTAGCAGAAGAAAGGGGAGGGGGCATCTGGAAAGAAGCCGGGGGGGACGGGGGAGGCCATCTGAAAGGGATTTGCTGTCTGGTTCAGCCTTTCTGCTCCCCTTGGAGCCACCCTGGGCTCAGGGCAGGAGCATGCTAGGTGGAGTAGCCGGCCTTCCGTGGCTTTGTCAGACAAGGAGATTGGGGAGGGGGGAGGGGCTGGGAAGGACCTCCTGCCTGGGAGCCAGCAGCATCCTATGGAAGAAGAGATGTTTCCCCCTTAAGCAGCGCATTTCCAGCTGGGTTTGCTTCTATTCATGGCAGCCACAGAGTTTTCTTCTGCTCCAAACGAGCTTCCTTCCCTCCTTCCCTCCCCATCCTCCACCTCTGAAGCGCAAGGCCCATCTTGGCTGCTTCATGCCTTTGTTGGCCCCTCCTCCTGCGTCCACCCCAGGATCCCTTCCTGTTGGGCACCGGATAACGGCATCTCTGGGCTAAGGCTGGGCCATTCTTGCTGCCCTGAACAGCAGGAGCGGGGGGGGGAGGGGGAGGCTGCAGCTGAAACAGGGTGGAAGGAAGGAACATAGAACATACAATAATAGCTTGGAAGGGGCCTTAGAGGTCCTCTAGTCCAAGCCCCTCCCTGTGAAAGGAGATCCTATACCAGTGATGGCTAACCTTTTTGCCATCGTGTGCCAAAAGCGGGGGTAATGGGGGGGATTGCGTGTGCGTGTGCCCACACCCATAATTAAATGCACCCACGCATGCGCGAGTGACCCACCCCCCGCTCTCCCCCCGCTTTTGGCATATGATGGCCTGGTAGGCCCATTTTTTTGCCCTCCCCAGGCTCCAGAGCCTTTCTAGGAGCTTAGGGAGGGTGAAAACAGCCTTCCCCACTCCCCCAGAGGCCCTCCAGAGGCCCGGAAACAGCCCGTTTCCCGACTTCCAATGGGCCCAGAAGGCCCCAAAATCAGTTGGCCAGTGCGCACATGCATGCTGGACTGAGGTAGGGCAACGCTCGCGTGCCCACAGATATGGCTCCGTGTGCCACCTGTGGCACCCATGCCATAGGTTCACCATCACGGTCCTATACCATTCCAAACTTTCTTTGGGCTTCATGGGATGGTTACACACGATCATAGAAAGAAGAGTAACAGAACAGAAAAACAGAGTTGGAGGGGAACCCAGAGGTCCTGTAGTCCAACCCCCCCACCTGAGAAAGGGGCTCTCCCTCCCCACCCCCTCTACCACATCCGCCATCCTCTGTCCTTAGGAGGGAGGCCTTTTCTTCAGGTACCCCTGAATTACATGGATGAGCCACAGGAGGGCGGGGGGAGTTCAGCTGCAAATGCTCTTGGCCAGATTGTCTACTGGACCCGATGACCTCCCCATGGCCCCTCATGCCTTTTCCTCACTTCCCATGTCAGCACTCAGTGTATGCTCTGAGGAATGAAGGGCCGGTTTTAACCACAGGAACTTTCCCCCTGCAGGACCGAGAGCTGCGTCCAGAAGAAATTGACGGTGAGATGTTTCCTCTTTTCTTTTACTGGTTTAGAGAGGGGGTCTCCACACTGGGCAACTAAGCCTTGTGAACTTCAACTCCCAGATTTCCCCACCCACAAGTCTTTATGTTGCCAAGAGTGGAGACCCCTGGTTTAGAGGACTGTAAAAGGGAAAGAGGGCCATTCATGTTGGAGACTCCAGTTCTTGTATTTTCAATCTTTAGTTGTCTCCCACTTCTCCAGCAACTGGCAACTATTAAAAAAAAAAGAGTCATAAAAATTGACATGCATTTATGCATGTTGTCTGTCTCTCTCTTTTTCACCCATCTACCAATCTATCTTTGCAAGCGGTTGTTCTGTATTTCCCACCCACAAATGTACACAGATTAGATTATACTTTGTGTGAAAACTTGCATCCTTACATACATTCCGAGAAGTGTGAAAACTGGAGAAATATGTTTGGGTGGCAGATTGATTTGGAAGTGGGGATTTGAATCGGCAGCAAAGAAGCATCTGGCTGGGGTGCCAGAATGAGACTCTGGGACTCTGGATTCACGAAAAGTGATCTGTGATCCAAGCAACTCTCAGTCCCTGCCTGGGGGGAGAGTACAGAGACACTAGGGGAGTTTTGGAGAGGTTCTTAGTTTAAACCTTAGTCCCCAACCTTACTGGCTTGGCAGCCTGGCAGAGAGTTGGGGGAGAGGGGGAATGGTTGTGTATGGGTGCCCACCGCTCTCACAAGTGGAGCTTCACAGGCATGTGTGTTTGCCTGCTGCTTGTATGGCCCAGCAGGGGGCCACGGCCTGAGGATTGGGGACCGCTAGTTTAAACCGGAGGTCTTCAAACTTGGCTATGCTGGCTGGAGAATTCTGGGAGTTGAACTCCACAAGTCTTAAAACTACCAAGTTTGAAGAGCTCTGGTTTAAACCAGGATCCTCTGAGATGCTTTGAGTGGAATCATATGTGGCTTTACCCCAAAGCTGCTTTTCCCAAAAGGCAACTGGACTTTCTTGGGTTTTTTTTTTTCCCTTTGAAAAACGTTTTGCTTCTTAACGTTACAACTGGCCCTCGGAGTGCTAACCACGAGGTGACTGCAAAGAATATAAATCCTTCCATCCTCCACCAGTCGGTTAGAAGTGAAGAAACCTCTTGGATGAGAAACAAAACATTTTCAAAGAAAAACCAAGAAAGTCCAGTTGCCTTTTGGAAAAGCATATTTGGGACAACCACGACCTGGATGATCTCCACTGAGAGTCATGCCTTTAGCTCTGTGGGGGCCACCAAGAGGGACTTAAAAAGACCTCTGATGAGTCGGGGGGGTTGTCACTCATCCCCTTCTCTGCTCCCAAAAGGGCACAAAAGTTAGCCAAGTCGCTAGCTCCTTTACACCTGCGGAAGAAGACAATAATGGTGGGGGTCTTGCTCCAAGGCTGAGGGTCTGCTGAATCCCCAGGAGGCTGATCGGAGGAGAAAGCACCAATTCCCACACATGCCCCCCTGCCACCTTCTTTTCAGGACCCCCGTTCATCTGCAGTTTTGGCACCTGTTCCACATGACCTCCCGGGGCTTCTGCCAAGCGCCATAGCCGTCCTCTTGGGGAATTGCTCCCCCTTGGAAGATCTGAGTGGTGGTGGGGTTTCTTGGCTTCACTGCAAGCTGATTCCTTGAAGATGCGAAATCTCAGGGAGGGCTGGAGGGGGGCTCTGCAGGAACACGTGCGTTGTCACGCTGGCAACTGCTCGAGCTCTAGTCAGCAGAGAGGGGCAGAGAGCCCCTCCCAGACCCTAAATGAGAGACCCTCCAGGGCCAGGCTTTGCAAGAGGCGAGGGCGAAAGACCTGTCCCCCTCCACAGGCCCCTCCCTCACCTGCATTTGACCCCACAGAGCTGAGAGAAGCCTTCAAAGAGTTTGACCGAGACCGAGACGGCTACATCAACTGCCGAGACCTGGGGAATTGCATGAGGACCATGGGTTACATGCCCACCGAGATGGAGCTGATCGAACTGTCGCAGCAGATCAACATGAACTGTGAGTGGCAGCCACCCACCTGCCTGCTGCCAGGGTGTGTGTGTGTGCTGGCCCTCCCCCGGCCTCTCCTGGATGCTTTTTCTCTCTCCGGCCCCATCCTCCTGCTCCCACCTTTGCCTGCTTCCTTGCCCAAGTAGAACCCCAGCCTTGCGCCAGGCATGATCCCTGCATGCCACCGGTGGGATCTGTGCGCCTGAAAGCTCAGCCAACACACGGAGGAGAGAGTCAGCTCATTGCTCCTCAAGGTGCCCCGTTTCCTCTCGGAAGGCCTGCCGTCATCCACTCCCCTGTACGGCTGCCTTGGTGGGGTGGAGGGGATTGTCCCTCGTGCAGCTTCATCGTTCTTTCCTGGACCAGCTCAACTGTTTTTGCAAGGATAGGAGGATTGCTTTGGCCAAGGAGACTCTGGCTTGGTTCACACACTTCACTCAACCCAAAACCGAGTTCATCATTCCAAATCTCCTATGCAGGCTTAATGCAATGGTTTGTGTGAGGAACATTAAGACACTTTAATTCCTGCAGTGTACAGAAGCCGAAAGTCCCCTGTTCCAATTTAGTTGCAATCACACACTTTGTGAATTTAAGCAGCATCACTCAAACCATCATTTTGAAACCATGGAAAGGGACTGTTTACAATTAATTAATTAATTAATTAATTAGAATTTATCAAAAACGAGAAGAATGAAAGAATAAAAATACAATGACAGGGACAATAGGCACGTTAGTGCACTTATGCACGCCCCCTCCACTGACCACTTAAGTATGATGTAAGGGCCATGGAAGTCCATTTGTGACTGAAACTGTGAAAATGTTGTAGCTGAGACAACTGGATCAGGTAGAGCATTCCAGACTTTGACAACTCTATTACAGACATCATATTTTTTACAGTCAAGTTTAGAACAATTTACATTGAGTTTAGAGCAGTTGTTAGTGTGCATATTATTGCGATTAAAACCAAAAAAAGTCATTTACTACACTGGTAGACCTACCACGAGTTCTGTGTTCAGTTCTGGGACCATATTATTAATATTATATACACAAAAATGTGAAGTCACAGCTGCTGGTTCTTCAGCCGGCATTGGCTTTCATCCACAATAGTTCTTCTCAAGCAACCGGGGTACCGTAATGGCATTGTGTCTGTTGTTGTTATTATTTTAACCTACATTTTAAGGAGAACGTAGTGCAACCAAAAGAGCAACAGCAAGCTTATTTCTTTTGATAAAATCTGTTAAGTTAGGAAAAAATGTTCCCAGACACCTCTTGATTTTTTTGTAGCCACCGACCCATGTCTCTCAAACTGGAAGGTGTGGGCTTCCATGCCTGGAATTTCCCAGCCAGCATTCTGGGAGTTGTTGAAGTCTTCATTCTTGCTGACTGGGGAACTAAGGGAACTTAAGTCCACACATCTTCCGAGTTGAGAAAAGCAGGAGGTTGGGTTCAAGCTGCCCTGGAGAGGGGCTGCCTCCCGTCACTCAATCGGCTGGAGCGAAGGCTGGACCCCCAGAGGACTTCTCCTTGGCTCCCACCCTGAGGGGGGGTTGGACTGAGCAGCCCCTTGCAGTCTGGGGGGGGCGCCAGTTGGGGATGAAGGTAGGGAGCGACTCTGCTCAGCGGCTTGTGCATCCTCCCGCTCGCTCAGAGCAAGGCAAGCAGAAGGATTGTCCCCCAAGCACAGTTCCCATCGCAAGGCCAGATGGAGACGGGAACGTGACTCCCACATGCATAATCGCCTTCTCGCTTTGCTGCACCCCTTTCCTCCAGGGTTCCTGCTGCCTTGCTGGAGGGACGGAAACCAGGCTCGGTTGGTTTAAATCAGTTCCAGTTGGCCTGGCAAGGCGAATTCTGTTCTGGTCTTGCCCTTTCCTCCGAGAAGGGCAGAAAGCAATTATTTTGCAGTAAATTAGCAGCAGCAGCAGCAGGGCAGCGAGAGAGTCGGAGGCTGACTTAATCAGGGGACCTGCGATTGCCTTGAATCATCAGATGCCTCATTCGAGACAAAGCATCATTTTGTTTTGGGAAATAAGCAACTCTTTGGAAGTTATGAAAAAGGAGAAAGTGACACTTGTGCATGTCTGGTCAGGCTGCCATCTTGAAATGTAAGAGAGAAAAGGAATCCGGTGCTAAGAGCTGCAGTGGTCCTCAGGCTGTGGCTGTGCTTGCCTCTGTGAGTGTGTGCGTGCGTGTGTGAGCGCACACGCATGCATGCACACATGTATATAAAAATATGTTGAGATTCTAGAAAGAATGCAGAGAAGAGCAACCAAGATGATTCTGAGACTGGAGATTAAAACAAATGAAGAACGGTTGCAGGGAGTGGGCCTGACTAGTCTAGTGAAGAGAAGGACCAGAGGAGACATGAGAGCATCTTCCAATATTTGAGGGGCTTCCCCAGAGAAGAAGTCAAGCTGTTTTCTAAGGCACCCGAAAGCCAGACAAGGAATAACGGATGGAAACTGACCAAGGAGAGATTCAACCTAGAAATAAGGAGAAATTTTCTGACGGTGAGAACAATCAACCCATGGAACAGAAGTTGCCTTCAGAAGTTGTGGGAGCTTCATCACTGGAGGCTTTCAAGAAGAGACTGGACTGCCATCCGTCAGAAATGGTGTAGGGTCTCCTGCTTGGGCAGGGGGTTGGACTAGATGATCTCCAAGGTCCCTTCCAACTCTGTTAATCTAATCTGTATGCATGTATAAAGCTGAAAATCAAAGCTGAGCCCATCTACTCCTTCCCCAGTCAATGGCCTTTGCCAAGTATGCCCTTTTGGTCACCAAGCCCTGCACTCTTCCCTGTTAGTAGCTCTTTTTATACCAAGCATAGAATTGAGGGGCTGGAAGGGAACTTGTAGTCCAACCCCTGCTCAGGGGAGCGCTCTTCATACCATTTTGGACAAATGGTTCTCCAATCTTTTCTTGAAAACTTTAACAATGGTTCAGGATCAGCTATAAAGAAAAGCAAGAAGTGCTGTAGACAATTTTTAGCTTGGTGTTTCTCAGCCTTGGCAGCTTTAAGATGTGTGGACTTCAACTCCCAGAATTCATGGGAGACTGGGAAATTCTGGGAGTTAAAGCCTTAAAGTTGCCAAGGTTGAGGAACATGGCTCTGGCTGTTTCTCAACTATTTATGAGAATGTTTCCAGTCTCACTAGAGAAAAATATTTTCCACTCTTTCTTCAGGGAGGCCATCCAGGGTTCTTCGAGTGGTTCACAGCCGTAAATGTTACCGTCCTGGGAATATTTTGGGTCATGAGTCAGTCTGAATCCAGAGCTGCTTGCTTTTATTCCATGCCAAGCTGTGAACGTACATTGGTCTCAATTTATCCCGCTGAACTGGTGTGACGAGAATGTTGGTTGCAGAAAAGGGTGCAGAAAAAAGGATGCCGAGTCTATTTAAATTAAGAAATTCAGATTGAAAAATATAATCATGAGAAACAGCAGATCCTTGCAATTTTAGGTCTATAGCTCATGAGTTTATTTTAAGCGCACATTTGTGCTGTGACATCGTGACATGAACTCATAACAAGCCTAATATATTACACACTTTGTTTCAGTAGGAAGTTTGCGTTTGAAAACACTTATTTTTCTTCTGTACATGCAGACTCTGTGGCCTCCCCCAGCAGTTGCAAAACAGTAGGGGGGGTAGGTGGGGGGGCAGGCAGCCCTGGCTGGACGGGTAATCTGCTCCTTTTTAGACGTCAATTGTTTCTGTGCCCTTTTAGGCACAGGCCAAGCTGCATGGAGTCCCCTGGCGCATGCTGTCTTCTCCACCCCGTGTGGGGCCACTTGTGCACATCCCATAGCGTCCAGACGATGCGGCTGGAATCTGGGTTCGGATGGGGGTGCTCAGCTGTAACCGCCTTCTGCCACATTCTCCCTCCTTGTGTCCTCAGTGGGCGGCCATGTAGACTTTGATGACTTTGTGGAACTGATGGGACCCAAGCTGCTGGCAGAGACGGCCGACATGATTGGGGTCAAGGAGCTGCGAGATGCCTTCAGGGAGGTGAGAAACCATTTGTGTCATGTCTCTTCTCTTCCTCTCGGAGGGAGGCTTGTTTTTCTGCCTTCTTCTTGGGGGTGGGGGGGACGACAAAGGTCTCTTTCCCTGATTCTCTTGGTGGTGTTTTCTCCTTACTCGATGGTTGGACGGGATGGCGGTGCTGCTGCTATTCTGCTTGTTTTCTTTCCCATCGCCGCTTCTTCCCTAGTTGGAGTAGGTGTGCTTCGGATTGAATCCCAAAGAATTGCTTTGTGGCACGTGGAATATGCGCGTTGCACCTGTTGAGAACAGGGGGTTGATAGAAATTGCTGGAGATAGGTGTCAGGTTCACTTTCCTGCACACGCCAAAGCACTTTCTGGAGACTGCGTCTGAAGAGCTGCGGAGCCCTACTTTCCAGCTGCCGCTCTGAAGATAAGAAGAACTCCCTCCTAATCCGTCCACTGGGAATGGCCTCGTCTCAGTTCCCCTCGTGAATTGAAAGTGCAATTCACACTTGCATGTCATTGCATTTAATGCTGCTGTTGTCAAGGGACACTCTCAAGGTGTGAGGTGTAAAACCAAAGTGTAGTCACATGTAGTGGGCTAGGTTGGGTCAAGCCGCAGCTTTGAGAGATCCACGGAAAGCCTTCAGGGAGCCACCAACTCTGTGGTTCCTCCTGGTGTGCTTTGTGCAGTTTGACACCAACGGAGACGGAGAAATCAGCACCAACGAACTGCGAGAAGCTATGAGGAAGCTCCTCGGGCAGCAGGTGGGACACCGAGACATAGAGGACATCATACGGGATGTCGACCTGAACGGGGATGGGCGAGTGGACTTTGAAGGTGAGCGGAGGGAGGGGGGCTGTCCATTGGCCACAGGGAGGGAAGCAGCCATGGAGCTGGGAGACGTGGCTGCTTGGGGAAGGGTCCCTTTCCTGTAGCTTGTTTATTACAGCATGTAGAGGCTCTTAAGAGGCACTCAATAAAGGCTCAGCAGGGGTCTACGGCAGTGGTGGATTGCTCCTAGTTCTGTCCGGTTCTTGCAAACCGGTAGTAAAGATAAGTAGAACCCACCCCTGGTCTACGGGCCTCACAATTCTTCTCACGACTGACCTCGGCCAGCTGCTGTGAAAATGGCAGGGATGATCTGCACGCACGCATGCACGCACACAGATACCCCCTCCCCAGCCTCTAAAGGAGAGTAGAAAGGGCCTCTGGCCAGCTCCCACCCCTCACCCCTGACTTTAGAAGGTTAGAAAAAGGAAAGTGGCCTGGCTCTAAGAGGCTTCTGTACCTGTTGCAGCCCAGGGATGGGGGAGACTCAGAGTCAGGAGCTGGGGGAGGGGGGGTTCTTCCCACCCCCAACTCAAACAGGTCTCTAGACACAAACATGGATGTTCTGCCATTTGTGATTTGGGCAGCTGAGCCAGAAGAAAATGGGCTTTGCTGGCCAAGAAGGGCTGCTAAAGCCCCCTGTGGAAGCCAGTGGTGGTATTCAGCCAGTTCTATCCGGTTCGGGCGAAACAGTAGCGGCAGCCACCGGAGGCTCCGCCCAACTGCCTGCACATCACGTCCCATTTTTGACGCTCTGTGCATGCGCTCACATTTGCGAACCGGTAGAGAAGGTAAGTGAATGCCATCCCTGGTGGAAAGGCTCTTAAGATGCCTTCTGACCTGCTAATACAGTTACTTGTGGCATTTCCAGCCCACCTTGAAATAGTTCCCAGAGTCGCTAATCATGAACATAACGTAATTCTTACATTAAGTAATTTAAAATGGACATTTTATTTAGAAAGCAAAAAATAAAAAATGGCAGATTTCCCATCCCCCAGCATCATCTCCAATTATAGAGAGTAACAGAATTGGAAGGGACCATGGAGGTCTTCTAGTCCAACCCCCTGCTCAGGCAGTAAACCCTATCCTATACCTTTCCAAACAAATGGTTGTCCAATTGCTTCTTAAAAACTTCCAGGGTTGGAGAATTCACAACTTCTGGAGGCAAGTTGTTCCACTGGATCATTGTTCTCACTGTTAGGAAATTGGGGTTTGAGCAATTGAAGAAATTGTGAGCTGAACTTGGGGAAGGTATGAAAGAGCTATTCAAGGGAGGAGGGAGGGAGGGAAGGGGAAGGGAGGGAAAGGAAGGAAAGGGGAGGGCAGAGGAGGGAAGGGCTGTTTAGGTGAAAGTTGGCCGAGACCATGAGACAGAAGGAAGCACGAGAAGCTCAAGCTAGTACAAGAAAGAACAACAAGATGCCTGAACAGGCTTTCAAGATTCTGTTATTTAATCCTATACCCCACAATAGTAAAAAAGCATCCATTTATTTGTATAATCTCTTTTTTTCAGTTATTTTGCAATTACGTTGGCCATCCTGAGTCCATTTTTGGGGGGCAGCTATAATAATCAAATCAATACAATAAATGCATGAATTCCTGGGATCTCCACCTCCACCCCCAGTTTCTTGACCTGGCCTGTCTGACACCCATGCTGAAAGGCTTCCCAGGTTTCTGTCTGTTCCTTCTTATACTAAGCAGAGTCAAGGTCCACTATTTTGAGTTTCTTTTCCCTCTTCCTTCTTTCTCTGGGCACATAACCGCTTTTCCACGTCGTCTTTGGGTGTCTCTTTCATACCTTCCCCCAAATTCCTTTACAGAAATGCTCTCTGTTTCTGGAAAACTGCTGTAAATCTGAATAATGAGATTTAAACCAGTGTTTTTTGTTGGCAAAGTTGGCAATATTAAGATGTGTGGACTTCAACTGCAAAGCTGGTTGGGAAATTCTGGGAGTTGGCAACTTTGAAAAACGCTGGTCTAGAAGGACCCTTGGTCAGTGGGAGAAGGTCCTGTCCAGCACTGTCTCTCTGGCCTCGTCCCTTTTCTGCAGAGTTTGTCAGGATGATGTCTCGCTGAAGACGGCTCTTGAGCTGAGTGGTGACCCAACCCTGGAGGGTAGAAAAGGGCCCGTGTGGCGCACCATGCCCTGAGCTCCTATGCAATGCCGGCTGCCCCACCGACGGTGTGCCGCAGTGACCTGCCTCACTACTCCACCTGGCCTGACGCTCCTTCCCTCTCCACACTGTGAATGATTCGGGGTCTCCTGCATCCGAAGCGCTGCCGGGGGAGGCGACCTCAGAGGGGGCAGTGGTGCCCGTGCCCGAAGCAGCCACGGAGGGCTGGACGTCGTCGAGGTCTCCTTTTCCAACGCCTCGCCTGCTTTTGCTCTTCCGGCCAACCCTGCAAAGCGATGAGAAAGAGGGGGGGCCCTGGATGCGGTGGGGCCCCCGGGACCAGTGCCTGACGTGGACTGTGCTCTGGACTTCTGTTCCTTGGCCAAGGCGCCTTGTACGAATGCCTCCTTCCTCTCCTCTGTGTCGCCTTGATTTTTGCCTCTGGAATGTTTTTCTGTCTCCCTACAGTCATGTTAAGGGGCACCAATTATATGTTTGCGCAGAAAAACAAATAATATTGAACAAATACTCTCCGCGAGGCTGGCTCTTATTTGCCAAGGGGTGATGGGGCCGTAGTGGGGCAACTGGGGATCAAGGCCTGCAAGGGGGGCTACTAAGAACCCCCCAAAAAGCTGGAGCTAAGAATAGAATAGAATAGAATAGAATTCTTTGTCGGCCAAGTGTGATAGGACGCACAAGGAACTTGTCTTCGGTCCATAAGCTCTCAATGTACATGCAAAAAAACAATGATAAACCATGAACTTAATCATAAAATACATTCATAATAAATCATGATACAACACTCAGGGATAGTCATACGATCCTAAATAAAAGCAGTCAACATAAATAATAAGATACAAACAACTGATGGCCATAAGATGCTAAAAGAATAGCAGAATATAATAATTATATATATTTATTATATTAAAATAAAATTAATATAAGTATAATATATAATATAAATATATATTATATAATATATAATAGGATAATATTGTATAATAATATTTGTAGCTCAGGGTTGAGCTGAGGGGCCTTGGTGCTCTCTGAACTTGATTGATTTCTTCCAGATGTTTCATGACCTAATCTAGGTAACACCATCAGTGCTAGCCTGACCAGTACAGACTAGCACTGATGACATTACCTACTTTGGGTCATGAAACAGGTGGGAAAAAAAGAACCAAGCTCAGAGGACACCAAGGACCCCTCAAAACTGGAGCTGGCAATCATTGCCCATTGGAGGCGATCATTGTCCATTGGCAAGGCCACCTTGCCATAACGAAGGCAACCCCTTTTCAAGGGGAAGGACGACCACTGCGTTGTCCACCAGAGGCCACCTGTAAACACTGCAGCTCCACGGCATGGGTATGCCCAGGAGCCCGGCTTCTCTTCAGCTGCCCTCTCTCTCTAGTGAAGAGAGAAAGGATTGAGCCTCTGCTTCTCTTGATACTGTTGTGCCCACATTTCATGCTGGCACAAAGCTGCAGACTGCTCTTGCCTTAGGAGACAAGTAATATTTACCTGGTTTACTCTAGCCTGGTGTTTTTCAACCTGGGCAACTTAACCTGTGGACTTCAATTCCCAGAATTCCCTAGCCATCATGCTGGCTGTGGAATTCTGGGAGTTGAAATCCACACTTGTTAAAATTCCCAAGGTTGAGAAATTCTGCTCTAGAGCCCTATACTTCACTAGCAAGAAACAATGGCCCTTGTGGCCTGACTGTCCATCTGTGGCCAGTCTCAGCTGCTCTGGTGTCTTCTTTAAGCTCCAAACTTGCTATTCCCCCCCCCAATGGCTCAGAGGAATCAAAGGAAGGCAACCCCTTGCCCACAAGTCCAGGAGCACCCCTGGATCTGCCCAGCTCCTGTCCATATGGCCTTCCTCTTCCTTCTTCTGCAAGAAGTCAATGTAGGGGGGAAGGGGCAGTGAAGCTGGCAGGAGGCACAGCCCAGGCAGGTTGGCCTCCTGGGTTGCTAAAGAGACTCAAGTGGAGCCACTTTGCCAATTTGCATCTGGCCACATGCATCATGCCAGCCGGTCTGCAAACCACACAACCTCACCCAAGAAGCCACATTGTGAAAGAAGAGACAACACACTTGTTTGCCTGTTCCCCACACTTGCCCTCTGGCCATCCAAGTCTAAGACCAAGATGGTGGCTGCGGCCTTGCAGTTGAAGCTGTCCATTTCTTACCTGCGTTGCTGCCATCTTGACCTGACTCCAGAGATGCCAGCTGCTAAAGGAGGAAGGCTAGCACTCTCCCCTGACTGGGTTAGCCATTAATCTGAGCCAGCCAGGCGCCAGGCCCTTGAGAGACGCACACAGTGGATGGGAAAACAGGCAGAGCTTCGATCACACAGCTGTGGCCGCCATCTTGACTATTTTTGACCAAACACTGCAGACCACCTGGAGCTGCACCCTTTTACGTAGGTGGGACACAGTCAGCACATGTGGCTGCAGCAACTGGGCACTCTTGAACTTTTGTGCTGAGAGTGGTAGGCAACTCACCTAGTGCATTAAAGAATCAAAACAGGTTTTTACAGACAGGCAAAATTAAATTCAGCACAGGGCAGCATCCTAAATGGCCAAGCAGGCTCATATCTAGTGAGGGTAGGGAGACCAGGAAATCTACATCACTGCTAAGAAAACACGGTGGATCATGCATGTATGAAGCGGCCAGGAGCATGGGAGTCTTTGTCTTTACAAAAAGATTGCACATGCACAAACACACTCATCCCTATGATGCGCTTATGACCAAGCACATTAAATGCAGTATTAATGGAGATTCGTAATGCAATCAGCAGGAATATCCTTCCTTTGGATGACTGAATACAAAACGAAATACTGAAATCACTCAGTACAACACAACATGATTAATTTAGATCAGTGTTTGTCAACCTCAGCAACTTGAGGGTATGTGGCTTTCCATTCCCAGAATTCCTTAGCCAACAATGCTGGCTGAAGAAATCTGGAAGTAGACGTGCACCCTACCTAAAAGTGGCCCAGTTTGAGAAACAGATTTAGATGAACACTGAAAGCTGTTTGGAAGATATGGGCATCCCGTGGCAGAATTTGGTGGTTGTCGGCTGAAAAGCAAAGGGGGGAGAGGCTTGGAAGGCTTTCCTGCCATTGAATAGGCATCCTTTGCCTCTGGGAGGCTCAGCCAAGAGAGTGACTACCATTCTGATCTCACATGCCTACAAAAGGAAAATCACAGCTTGTAGAGAGGTGGCTATGAAGAAACCCGGTAGTCCTTGCACAATATGTTCACACAACACACTAAACTGGAGTCATCATCGCAGGATAAGAAAATATGGCTGTGTTCAGGTCATGCGCTAGACCCATCAATAAGCTGATTATAGTTTCAGGTTTAGGTCTGGTTTCCACAACAGGCTGAACCCCAAAGATGCAAAACCATTGGCTTCTTCTCCCACATTGTGTGGGCTGCACTTGCCCTGACAAAAGTCCAGAATGTACTCTCCCCCTCTCAGCCCTGGTGGTTTGGTCTTGTCCCTCAGCACCTCTCATTAAATCTTGGGGTGTGTGTGTGTGTGTCAGGATCCAGTCCTTCCAGCCTCCTTCTCCTCCTCCTGCAAGAGAGGCTCTCCCACTTCTCTCGTTCCCTGCCAAACAACGCTCATGGAGGCAGGGGGAGGATTGGGGGGGAGGTAGTTTTCATGTACAGACGGATTTGGGGATTAAGTCTGCAATCTAATAATCTCATTGCAGAGATTACTCCTTTCATCTGCCAGCCAGCCCAGAGGAGGCTCCCATCAGTCCGTCCAGAGCAACTTCATTGGTCAGCATCTCAGCCTGTTTTTCTGGCATGAGACATCTGGGAGAGGACCTGGACCTCCTCCTCTTGTAGGACCCCTTCCAGCCTCATGTGCTCCAGAGTGTAGGAACTGTCTTGAAGCCTTTCCGGTTAGGCAGCCTCAAGGGGGAGAGGGGCAGGTGGAGGACAGATGGTGTTTGGAAAGGCTCCATGCAGGGGGTGAAGGGCAGCCCACTCCTCTCTACCAATACAGGAGAATATTTGTAGCTCAGGGTTGAAATGAGCGGTCCTTGGTGCTCTCTGAGCTTGGTTGTTTTCTTGCAGACGTTTCATTACTCAACTAGGTGATATCACTAGCACTGATGATGTTACCTAGTTGGGTAATGAAACATCTGCAAGAAAACATCCAAGCTTAGAGAGCAACAAGCCCCCTCCCCTGGTCAATTTGCTCTAAAACAGCAACATCACAAAACAGCAGGATCCCTCAGCTGGTCCTCATTTGCTCTCACCTTGCTTGCTTAAAAGAAAGTATCCTGAATTCTTTGGGGTTAGAACCCCAATCCCAGACCTTCTGAACTGGAGCAGCTGCAGACAGCCATCTCTGGAATGCAAAGACAAAGGGGCCAGGGCTGGTGGTCTCCAGGAGGAAACAGGGTCACGGACCCAAAATGATAGACCTGCTACAGGGAGAGCTTTTTAAGCAGCATAAACTTTTGATTTTGAATACTGTTAGGGTTGGTGGAATCAACCACATAGAAAGAGCTGAAGTTAGGAGCCATTTGCAAATTGCTGTTGCCAAGGAATGGACTAGATTTTGCACACCACATATTGCACTGTGTGCCACACAAACGGCCCCTTCCAGTCTCTGAAATATTATTCCTCTCCACCTGGTGGACTAAGCCTCACTGAGGCTCATTTACAATGATTACAGATGATGCTCATTAATCTCCTGTGATTTGGCACTTAGTTTAAGCTCTGATTTGTCCAGATCAGCAATCCTTCTTCAAAGTATTTAAATGCAATGAGAGCACATTGCTGGATTTGAACTGGAAACGGAGTGCTGCGTCTCCTCATCGCTTTGCAACCTAAACCAAGATCTTGCTGCCCTTCCAAAACAGGAGCCAAGCAAACCTGGCACATGGGAGGATGTGTAGCAGACATTTCTCTATGGACAACTGTAGTTATACCCCTCCATTCTCTTTGCCCAACCTGCATGTCAGGGATAAACGGGCAGTTTGTGGCAGGGTTGCCTGTTGTTTCTGCATGTTAGGTGGGTTGTCTCCTTAAACCATGACAAACAATGATCTGTAAGATCCCTTCCACCTACATCAGGGGTCTCCAAACTTGGCAACTTTAAGACTGTGGATTTCAATTCCCAGAATTCCCTAGGCAGCCATGCTGGCTGGGGTATTCTGGGAGTTGAAATCCAAAAGTTTTGGAGACCCGACCTAGATGTTCCACTGACTTACTGGGCTGAAGGTGACATGTTCTGTGGCAGTTGTGTTTGGGTCATCGGTGTTGAGGATTTAGCGGGATGTATGAAACTGGCCAGAACTTTTTGTCAAGGATGGATGCAGGCACAGGAAGGCCTGCGTGGTGATGTTGAGGCTGGGCTCTAACACTTTGTTATAGTCCTTCAATCGTTTTTCCTGCTGCCAGCAGCATTTTGCCAAAAAAAGGAGTTGAAATGTTGAAGAATTCAGAAAACATATATTTTAAACATTTCTATGCTCCATTTTAACATGATGGGGCAGA